CATGGTGACAATGACAGTGCCACCCCCTGCTGGTGACAATGCCAGTGTCACCCCTGTCATGGTGACAATGACAGTGCCACCCCCTGCTGGTGACAGTGCCATTCATTTCCGGTGCCAGTGACAATGCCAGTGTCACCCCCATCATGGTGACAATGCCAGTGCCACCCATTTCCGGTGACAGTGACAGTGCCACCCTTGGCACAGTGACAATGCCAGTGCCACCCTTGGCACAGTGACAATGCCAGTGCCAGCCCTGTCACGGTGACAGTGGCAGTGCCAGCCTATGCCAATGCCAGTGCCACCCTGATGGCAGTGCTGGTGGCAGTGACAGTGCCACCCCTGGTGCCAATGCCGGTACCATCCTGGTGACAGTGCCGATGACAGTGACAGTGACCACGGTGTCCCCAAAGGACACGAAACCGCTCCAAGTTTATAGCGTGACAGTGACAGTGCCACCCCCATCGTGGTGACAATGACATTGCCACCCCCATTGCGGTGCCAGCGCTGGTGCCACCCATTTCTGGTGCCAGTGACCATGACAGTGCCACCCCCATCCAGTGACAATGACAGTGCCACCCTGTGGCTCGGTGACAATGCCGGTGACACCCATTTCCAGTGACAGTGACGGTGACACCCCCATCACGGTGACAATGACAGTGCCACCCTGTGCTAGTGCCAGTGCCACCCCCATCGTGGTGACAATGCCAGTGCCACCCTGGTGGTCACGGTGACAATGACACCCCCGTCATGGTGACAGTGACAGTGCCCGCGGTGTCCCCGCAGGACGCGAAGCCACTTGAGGTGTACAGTGTGACAGTGACACAGTGACACAGTGACAGTGACACAGTGACACAGTGACAGTGACACAGTGACACAGTGACACAGTGACAGTGACACAGTGACAGTGACACAGTGACACAGTGACAGTGACACAGTGACAGGCACAGTGACAGTGACACAGTGACACAGTGACAGTGACAGTGACACATTGACACAGTGACAGTGACAGTGACAGTGCTGTGGTGTCCCCGCAGGACGCAAAGCCGCTCGAGGTGTACAGTGAGACAGTGACAGTGACATAGTGACAGTGACAGTGACAGTGACAGTCATGGTGACAATGACAGCGACACAGTGACAGTGACAGTGACAGTGACACAGTGACAGTCATGGTGACAGTGACAGTGACACAGTGACAGTGACAGTGCCGGTGTCCCCACAGGATGCGAAGCCACTCGAGGTGTACAGTGTGACAGTGACACAGTGACACGGTGACAGTGACAGTGACACAATGACAGTGACAGTGACACAGTGACAGTGACACGGTGACAGTGACAGTGACACGGTGACAGTGGCCGCTGTGTCCCCGCAGGACGCGAAGCCGCTCGAGGTGTACAGTGTGACATTGACACAGTGACAGTGACACAGTGACAGTGACAGTGACACAGTGACAGTGACACAGTGACAGTAACAGTGACACAGAGATGGTGACAGTGTCACAGTGACAATGACATTGCCGGTGTCCCCGCAGGACGCGAAGCCGCTCGAGGTGTACAGTGTGACAGTGACACAGTGTGACAGTGACACAATGACAGTGACATTCACAGTGACAGTGACACATTGATGGTGACAGTGACACGGTGACAGTGACAGTGACACGGTGACAGTGGCCGCTGTGTCCCCGCAGGACGCGAAGCCGCTCGAGGTGTACAGCGTGGATTTCATGGTGGACGGGTCCCAGCTCGGCTTCCTGGGTACGGCGGCCAGGGGCGGGTTTGGGGTGAATTCGGGGGGATTTGGGCAAATTGGAGTGGATTTGGGGTGAATTGGGGTGGATTTGGGTAAATTCCGGTGGGTTTGGGGTGAATTCAGGGGGATTGGGTAAATCTGCATGAATTTGGGTGGATTTGGGATGAATTCGGATGGATTTGGGTAAATTCCGGTGGGTTTGGGGTGAATTCGGGTGGATTTGGGTAAATCTGGGTGGGTTTGGAGTGAATTCGGGTGGGTTTGGGGTGAATTCAGGTGGATTTGGGTTGAATTTGGGTGAATTTGGGCTGAATTTGGGTGGATTTGGGTAAATCCGGGTGGGTTTGGGGTGAATTCGGGTGGATTTGGGGTGAATTCGGGTGGATTTGAGTAAATCCAGTGGGTTTGGAGTGAATTCGGGTGGATTTGGGGTGAATTCAGGTGGATTTGGGTAAATCCGGGTGGATTTGGGTTGAATTCGGGTGGATTTGGGTTGAATTTGGGTAAATCCGGGTGAATTTGGGGTGGATCTGGGTGGATTTGAGTAAATCTGGGTGGATTTGGGTTGAATTTGGGTAAATCTGGGTTAAATTTGGGTAGATTTGGGTAAATCCAGGTGGATTTGTGTTGATTTTGGTTGAATTTGGATAAATCCAGGTAGATTTGGGTTAAATTTGGTGGATTCGGTTAAATCCGGGTGGATTTGGGTTGAATTTGGGTGGATTTGGGTTGAATTTGGGTGAATTTGGATGGAATTTGGGTGGATTTGGGTAAATCTGGGAGGATTTGGGGTGGATTTGGGGTGGATTTGGGTAAATCCGGGTAGATTTGGATGGAATCTGGGTTGAATTTGGATAAATCCAGGTAACTTGCTCTCAATTTTAGTTGAATTCAGATAAATCCAGTTAAATTTATCTCAAATTCCTGCAAATTTTCCTCAATTTCCCCTCCCGTCCCCGCAGTGTCCGACCGCGACCGGAACCTGTTGGTCTACATGTACCTGCCCGAAGGTGAGTGGGGCGGGGCCAGGTGACCCCGGGTGACCCCTGAGTGACCCCCAGGTGACCCCCGAGTGACCCCCAGGTGACCCCCCTGTGTCTCCCCAGCCAAGGAGTCCTTCGGGGGGCTGCGGCTGTTGCGCCGCGCCGATTTCCACGTGGGCGCCCACGTCAACACCTTCTGGCGCACACCGTGCCGCGGCCACGCCGAGGGACCCAACCGGCGCTCCAGCACCTGGGAGAACAAGCACATCACCTGGTTCGGTGGGTGACACACCTGGGGACAGCTGGGGACACCCAGGGACAGGTGGGGACACACCTGGGGACACCCAGGGACAGGTGGGGACACCTGGGGTACCTGGGAGAACAAGCACATCACCTGGTTCGGTGGGTGACACACCTGGGGACACCTGGGGGACACCTGGGGACACCTGGGGAGACCTGGGGACACACCTGGGATAGCTGGGGACACACCTGGGACACCTGGGAGAACAAGCACATCACCTGGTTCAGTGGGTGACACACCTGAGGATACATCTGGGGATACCTGGGGACAGGTGGGGACACACCTGGGATAGCTGGGGATACACCTGGAGCACCTGGGGACACCTGGGACACAGCTGGGACACACCTGGGGCACCTGGGAGAACAGGCACATCATCACCTGGTTGGGTGAGGGGCGGGGCCAGGTGGGCTCCACCCAGAGCCCTGAACTGTGAATTGGGGTTGGGATTTGGGGCCGGGTTTGGGATTTGGGATGAAGTTTGGGGTTCTGGGATTCGGGTTTCTGGGATTCGGGTTTCTGGGATTTGGATTTCTGGGTTTGGGGCCAGGATTTGGGATGGAATTTGGGGTTTTGGGATTTGGGGTTCTTGATTTGGGACCGGGTTTCTGATGGAATTTGGGGTTTCTGGGATTTGGGTTTCTGGGTTTGGGGCCGAGTTTGCGATAGAATCTGGGGCTCTGGGATTTGGGCTTGGGATTTGGGGTTCTGGGATGGAATTTGGGGTTCTGGGACTTGGGGTTGTGGGATTTGTGGGGCCAGGATTGGGGTTCTGGGATTTGGGGTTCTGGGTTCGGGACCGGATTTGGGATGGAATTTGGGGTTCTGGGATTTGGAGTTTTGGGATTTGGGGTTCCGGGTTTGGGGCCGGGTTCAGGTTTAGGATGGGTTCTGGGATTTGGGGTTTTGGGATTTGGGATTCTGGGATTTGGGGTTCAGGGTTTGGGATGGAATTTGGGTTTTTGGGATTTGGGGTTCAGGGATTTGGGGTTTTGGGTTCTGGGATTTGGGGCCGGGTTTGGATTTGGGATTTGGGTTTCTGGGATTTCAGTTTCAGGATTTGGGGCCACGATTTGGGATGCAATTTGGGGTTTTGGGATTCAGGGTTCCAGGATTTGGGAAGGAATTTGGGGTTCTGAGATTTGGGGCCAGGTTTGGGATTTGGGTTTCCGGGATTTGGGGCTGGGTTTGGGGTTGGAATTTGGGTTTTTGGGATTTGGGTTTGGGATTTGTGTTTTGGGATTTGGGTTTTTGGGATTTGGGTTTCCGGGACTTGGGGCCGGGTTTGGGGTGGAATTTGGGGTTCTGGGATTTGGGTTTCTGGCTTCAGGGCCGGGTTTGGGGTTGGGATTTGGGTTTTTGGGATTTGGGTTTCCGGGATTTGGGACTGGGTTTGGGGTGGAATTTGGGTTGCTGGGATTTGGGGCCGGGTTTGGGCTGCCCTGACCCCGCTGGCCCCACAGCCACACTGGACGGGGGTCTGGGGCTGCTGCTGCCGATGCAGGAGAAAACCTACAGGAGATTGCTGATGCTGCAAAACGCGCTGAGCTCCGCCCTGCCACACCTGGCTGGGCTCAACCCACGGGCGTTCAGGTAAATCACACCTGGGGACACCTGGACACACCTGGGGACAGCTGGGATACACCTGGGGACACACCTGGGACACACCTGGGTACACCTGGGATACACCTGGGCACACCTGGGATACACCTGGGATACACCTGGGCACACCTGGGATACACCTGGGATACACCTGGGATACACCTGGGCACATCTGGGATACACCTGGGCACACCTGGGATACACCTGGGATACACCTGGGCACACCTGGGATACACCTGGACACACCTGGGA